AACTTCAATGGTTTCAGATCATGAACTTGGCTGAGTAGAGTCGAAATTGGTCCAATATACAAATAGACTATGTACTTGTGAAGCTAGCATCTATGTATTTCAAATACCTGTATAACCTACTCAATGGCGTTAGGAATTTCGGTTTTGTATTCTTTAGGATATGTTTATTTGTTTTATCATGTCGAAAGTGGTCTTAATCTTTCTTCCTCTAGTTTGAAATGCTTATTTTTCTTTCTTAACTTTTGTAGATGCTGTGTTTGTTGGACTTGGAGGCTGACTTTCTGAATATTTATGAGGCTGCATCTCAGATCAATTCTGTGGTTCTCCCTGAGTTTATATTGCAAGGTGTTCTCTGTGCTATTTTTCTCTTGACATGGCACTGGTTTATGTTTCTTGTGGCAGCCCCAGTTGCTCTCTATCACGTGATGTTGTAAGTATAGTTGTTTTTCATTTTTTCAAACATATAGTGAGGAGCTCTTCTTTTTCTTTTTTTTTTTTTGTTTTATTGAAAACATTTTAAGCAATTTTATAATTCCTGTATTTTGGCAAAATCTAGATTTCTTCCTTGTTCAAATTGTTATAGGTCAAAAGAAGAGTTTGGCACCATGGACCATCGATTGCCTTTTAGCTAGATGCCATTTAAAAGGAGCATACTTGTGAGATACAAAGTCTGTAATTCTGAAAGTGGCTCCTATATGTTAGGAGCTTGAAACTTGATTATATGGTTCCACTTGCTTGAAAGATGAATGATCCATTAAGTTTAGCCCTGCATCTGCAAAATATCTTAAATACTTAGGATGATGACATTCATTATCGTAGCCCTTAAGTGATTGAATTGAAAGAAGTTGGAAAGGAATCATCATCATGTATTGATAAATGAATTGACATAGTTATATTGTTGGGGTTATATTTAGACTGATATTTTCAATTTAATTGATATATGTGTTTCAGGTATGTGAATGGGAAGCATCTTGTTGATGTCACTGAGATCTTCAGAAATCTTAATCAATACAAGAAGTTGCGATATTATAAACTGGGTGCATATATGTTTCTCTTGATTGTAGTCTTGACCAGGTTTGTTTTTCATTAAATACATGAATAACTTCTTTCTTTTCTACACTTCTACTTCCCCCCTTTTTATCTGCTCTTTATTACATCTAATTAAGGGTTTACCCCATGGCTGTGTGTAGAATGCCTTTTTCTCTTCAATTTTAAGTTTGAACATTTAGATGTGTGTTGTGCTCTTGTAGAATTCCAGGAACTCTCTTGGTTTTGCATGTGTGGTTACCACTTGCCAATTGATATGCTTCTTTAAAATAAGGCAGCATGTTGAGCTTTCAGCCAATAACATTTATATTCTTCCAAAACTAGCATGCACTTAGTTAGGACCATGCGTAAATTATTATGAAAGTTATGGCATTCATCCATAAATATGATGCCCCTCAAAAATTCA